GGTCTAGCCAGTGATGCCAATTGTGTTCATCCTTGTAAATGAACCTACGAGTCATAGACTTTAAAGTCTTATTAAAATCCCCCACCAACCCGTCAGTGTGCAAGTGATAGACGCTAGTCCGAACAGACTTTTAGCCCAATAATTCATAGTGTTCTTTGAAAGTGTGAGACAAGGCGCCGTGGTCCGTCTGTATCTCTATTGGGATGCTGACTCAGGACGTGAACTAAAACAGCATCTGTGCTACACTCCTTGCAAAAATGCTAAGCAGCAGCGCTGCTTTGAGACATCTCATTGCATAATCCACAAGAACTAAAACAAAGTGATATCCCTCTGAGCAGCACAGACATCACATGCCATTGCCCATCAGTTTGTTAAACCTAGTCCAATCTGGCGCATCCTTTAATCAGAATTAAGGGACGCAGAGAGAAACAGGTTACTAGGATATGAACAGGGCAGCTCCTCTCCCTCAGGTGGTGATGGAGGGAGCCACGACGTCTCGTCTTTGGGGCAAGGAGCCGTGGTCTTGCCACCATTGGCTGAGAGCTCCCTGGTGGATCCTCTGAGCATGCTTGCGTCTCATGGCCTGGGTCTGTAGCATCTCATCTTGTTGCTGGTGCACTGCCTCAATCTCCTGATGTTCACTAGTACCTGGACTGGGTGTATGGACTATGGGTTTGACATGTCGTATTGGGAAGGTTGGGTGTAACTGTAACACTTGGCTCCAGCATGACACTTCAGACATACAGATTCTGGGTGGGTGCAAGTTTCATGCTTATTTACAAAGGCTTTTTCAGGCCTCAGTAGCCGCCTTCGTTTTGTCTCTATCTCTCAATGCCAGCCCAGTGTTGTCCTCCCTCTGCCAGGCTCCAGCGTGCTACTGAAATAGGTAAGGCATGATTAGACCATCGTTGACAGCTGGGTCAGTCAGCCTCCCCTGGCAGTGCCCCTGAAACCACTGTACCACCTCTCCCCTGCAGCTAAGCCACAGACCACATCCTCCCTCCACAGCAACAATAGAAACTGTACTTCTGCATTACAATTACCAGTTAACTTGGTGGTGAAATTAATAACCTTGTTTTTCTTTAAAAATATCTAGCATTCACATCCATTAGTCATAAATTTGGATGCACTTTCTTA